GGAGGCAGAAAAATGTATTCTAGTTTGCAACTAGAACTTGTGGTGGGCATGAAAAAAGCATTTCCTCTCATAGATGCTGCTTCTGCTTGTCACTTAATAAGGAAAAGCAAAAATTTCCTGTGTTCGTTTAATCTGAAAACTAAAAAAAGGAATTAAAGGAGGAAACAAAAAGTTTAGATATGCAAGAATCTAGAGGGCTTTTTGCCACTGATTTCTGTACAGTTACTGTTCTAAAAGCTTTTGCTTTTTGTCATTAGTTAGACAAACTATCTCAGTAGAGTAAGCATTAACCACTGCAACTATTTGTTAGTTTTTAAAAAGCTGGTATTTGCTGAGGTGATGATGCCTGTCTAGTCAATTCTGAAATTAGAAGTAAATTGATAGTTATCTTCTGCAACTTGTGACTTGGATATCAACAGTATATTCAGGCACCACTGTTGTCAGATACAATACACATACTCAAGCAGGCAATTACTGCATTAAACAGTTTAAAAATTGAATAGAATGCCAGTTTAAGCCTAGGCCTAAATCAGTCCTAGTACCATCAGATTTCTAGGATATCCTTTTCTGGAGTCATAGGTTTTTCAGCACTCTTAATAGGATCATCTGTAACAGCCACAGGTTTTGGTTGGTTAGTGGTCTTAAAAAAAAAAAAAAAAAAATTAACATCTCCAAGACCAATAGAGAGCATCTCCCACTTCTCACACAAGAGCAGAAGACTCATTCCCAAAAGGATTTATATGACAGACCAAAATACTGTGATTTGTGTAAGTGAAACCTGCCTTCTCACACAAAGATTGCTTAATAGATTCTTCAGGGTGTATCTCTTGATCTCTCAAGAGCATCTCCTTCTAGCTATCATTTCAATTGTCTCATCACTTGTGTTTGAGCAACAAATGTCATGTTGCAATTATTTTCTTCAAATGTAATCAGGGCAGGTTTCGCCTAGGCCTCCCTCAATGTTACACCTGCACACATACACTGAAGTAGAAATGCTGAAGCCTAGGCAGGGAGGTTCAGAAGTCTCTCTCTCTCTCTCTCTCTCTCTCTCATCCTGTAGCCCAAGCCTGGGAGGTTCTGACAAATACGTTTGAAGTGGCAGGATATCTGGCTCTCTTTGCTGGTCCATTTCAGCTGCTGCACATAGCTATACACATATTGTGCACATGCACACACACAATGTATGTGCATGTGCTTTAAAAAGATCTAAGAATAAATTTCCCTTGTTTAAACGTGTTACAAAATATAAAAATTCTGAAGTTATTTTTCCTTCAGAATTTACTAAAGATAATTATCTTTAATTTAATATGTGGACAGAGACCATCTGTTTATACTTAGCTGTGTTCACTCATGGCTTCAAAAAACCAGGCATATCTTGATAATTAGTAAAATAGAGATCTAGTGCTATACAAAGATAGATAATCAAGTATAGGTGAAAAAGACAACTTGCTTTTGACTTACTTCCATCTGCTTTTCTGTATACAGTGTGAATTGTCTTCAAAACAAAGGATGTCCTACTACAATTGCCCAAATATATTCTTCGACCAAAACATCTCTCGTTCTAGGCTCAGGGGAAGATTTCACCTATAAAGTTAAGCTGTGTGAATATTATCTAAGACACTCTCGATACATCAACTTAGTTTCATAAATTTGTAGGAGCATGAATGCTATTGTTAATAAAAATAAATTTGCTAATGTCCAGGTACAGGGTGAGTATTGATGTTCAAAAGCAGTATTTTTTCCTTCTAATACAACAATTATTCTAATAATACAAGTTTGTCAGAGACTAACGATTTGTTATGCCAACACACACTCGAGAAAAGCTGTCTTATTCAAAAACACAAGTATTAACATAGCAGTAGTTCTGTTCTGGTAAAACTACAACTCTCTACATTCAACTTACAGCCTCTGAAACTAGCCAGTTTGTGGCTAAAAGCATTGGAACGGCACTGTTAAAAAAGATCTTGTGAAAATTGGCCAACAATCATATTCCTCCTCCTTTACGAGTATTAGTCATTTCTATAAGAGGGCTCAGGCCCTCTGTTTGTGGCCTTTAACCACAGCTGTCAGTGTGGTTGAAACTATTAGCCACCATTCAAATATATATGGAAAGCAGCCAAGGAAGTGGCATGGAGCATTGTTGAGAATAATTTAGCATACTTCCAAATTTCTGTTTGGCTCCAGTCTGCAAGTCATGCATGGTCATTAGCCCTTGTTAGAAGTCTGAGCAAGAGAGCACCTACCTTGAAGACTATGACACCTAGATTAGGTTCAAAATAGGAAAGGACAGAGAAAGCACTCCTAATCTGTCTGAAAAAGCTGTAACACTTCTACGTTTGTCTACAAGGAATGCAAGCTGCTATCGCATCTGATAAAAGTCCTATAAGCATGACCACTTCATTTGTGAATTCACGCCAAAAGAAGTCCCTAGAAAAGTTATCTCTAAAAATAGTCTTAGTTAAAAAAAAAAAAAATAGTGTGGCATTATTTTAATTTGAAGCCCTGTATTGCTTCTACTAGTAAGTGAAGTCAAAGAGCTCCAGAATCCTTGTCAAAATGAGCAAATGAGTAAGCGACACACTACACTCACCACACGTGGCTGGAAATTTAAACTGTAAACTGGAAGTCTTACAGTTAAGACCGTGAGAAGAGTTTCAGAAGAGAATGTAAGCTTGGTCAACCTGGGAATCCGTTCTAGTTCCTGTGTTCCATACAGGGCAGAGGAAACGGAGGGATGCTTTCTGCCGAGACGTATGTAAGGTCACAGCATGCTCCTAATGCCGTTGGGACACAACACTGTGCAACTGTGAGTGTCCACACAGACAAATGGCCTCCATGCATATTTGTGCTTACAATTTATTTGGCAGGAAAAATATTCAAAGTGCACCAAGGCTGCAGAATTAAACATAGTTGCATGTATTTTAACATAGACATCTAAAACAGGAATTAGTTGATGACTACGTCATCAGAGAGTATCCCATAAGGTTCTATTGCTTGGATCCCTGCAAAGTGAAGTGAACTGCAAGCTGTAATGAATGTTACTTAGATGATGCAAAATCATTACATTACAGAAGAGAGAATATTTACTGCGCTACCAATTCATTGTATTTTGTATACAACAGTGAACCGATATAAAAGTGTTCACAGCTGACTTTTCTTCATATCTAGCTCTAGGCCACATGACAGGAACTTTTAAAGGTATAAAATACAAAGAATCTTCTCTTGATCTCTAGTCTTTAAGGATAAACAATGGTATTTATTGACATAGCATGAATCATCTTCCTTAGTACAGGTAATAAAGAAACAGAAAAGTCTGTCATTTTCCGACCAGTCATTTCTGCCAATGACATAAATGTTTAGTTTGCCAGTTAGGATGATTATTGTGGAGAGAGGGAAGAACAATATGCTTACTGTAGCTGAATAATTATTCACCATGATACCGTCAAGTCAAAGCAAAACTGACGTCAAAGGGGAGAAGTCTAAACTGAATTCAAGCAAATAGTGATGGCTTTTCATGGACACAGGTTAGGCAGATTTTGTAAAGTGATCAGGCAAAGTAGCCAACCAAGCCTGCAGTAAGTAATTTGTACCCCAGTTTAATTAACATACTAGTATTCTCCTGAATCTTAAGTTTTTGTGTTTCTTGGAACATTTACTGGTGAGCGTGTTTCTACAAATCTCCAGCACACTATCCTGGACATCCTCCTGCTTTACTCAAGCATGATTACAAAGATAGAAATCACAAGAGCTTATGTTTATGGCTTTTAATTAACTAACAATTCTTCTGAAAGATACTTTCCACTAAAGTGATCATCCAATTTTTCCTCTGTTTAATCTATTACAGATGTAATTAGTATGACATAGAAGAACCTGCTCTCTACGCCTTCAGCATTTTAGGGGCAAACAGAATATAATATCCAGTTCTGAAGGAAACACGATATGATAACCATGGTTTCTGTCTGTTCTTAATTCCAACAGATTAAGGCAAGTTAGTATTTACTATTTCTTCTTTATTCCTGTCAAGTGCTTTCTGTACACTTCAAAAACAAACATTGAGCCATAAAGCTTTAGTTTGAATTCAAGTATAATACCTATACAATAAAATAGCTCACTGCCCATATTTATAAATAACTTAAGATAGACAGAATGTCAGAAAATTAAGCTGCTCAGTCTGCCCTCTGCTGGTCCTCCAGTTTTCCCTTTAAAGCAGTTCTTTCCTTGACTGAAATGAGAGAGAAAAGTACCAGCATCAAGGATTATACCAAGGAAAACCATCAGTAAGAAGTTAGTGCCTTGATTCCTGTTTTTAAAGAAGGATTCATTGAACTGCTCTATGTACAGATATGAATAGACTATTGGCTGATTAATGCGCTTTCTTGAAACTAATTTTCCATAAATACGGTTGTATTTCTAACTGATAATTTACAAAATACCACAGAAGGAAAAAAAAGTCAAACTTCACACTTTTCTGTAGAACAGTGTTCTGCACACTAGTATTTCATTCTTTCATTCTACCTTATTATAATCAGAAAAAGATCTGGTAGACAGACATGGAAGATATTTCTCTGTTGTGCCTAATACACTTCACTGCTACTGTAAGAACAATGCTCATCTTCATTGCAATCTTAAGATCATTTTCATGCTTGTCTTGGATACACTCCTTTCTGTAGGAGCCATATCTAGGTGGCATATTTTTGCAATACTTGCTGATACTTCACACGGCACGCTCTCAAAAGATTTGGCCCTGCCTCTCAAAGCCAATGGAGAAACCAACTCTGTCATGTGGCTGAATTGAAAAGAAAACATTATTTAGAAACTTCTAATTTTTAAAACTTAACCCAGTATTCAAAGAGTAGAAGCGAAGAATGAGAATGTTTAAATTGTTCAGGATGAGTTATCAAAAAATTTGTCTCATTTTATCGGACTTTCATTTAGTTAATACTTGGAAACTTTAAGGCTAATGAAATACCCTTAGGATAATGAACATACAAACAAGGATATACACTGAACAACCTTATTGTTTCCACTTTAATGCAAATACTTACATAACATTATGTGACTCTTCATGTAGCATTCAACACTTCTTTATATAAAAAAGGAAATGCAAATAGCAGCTACAAATAGGTATTAGAGAAAAGGAAATTATATGTGCTACGATACTTCTTGATTGATAATTCATTGCTTATTAGCAACCTGCAGGGTGCAGTAAATCAATAGCTACTGATTTCTGATGTGTACTGCACAATGGTACCAAATAAGCCTCTCTCCTGAATTGGAAAACTTAGAAAAATATTAAGATCAGGTGGACAGCTACTACAATTGTATTAGTTGTATGATACGTCATAAAGAGAAGTGAAGGGGAACTTTACTTCAAAGCCTTGAAAAATCCTTCTCTAATTTCACAAAAAAATAAAATAAAAGAAGAATCATGAATCAGAGCAGTTAAAGCAAGTCAGCCATGAATAAGAGGTAGAAAACCAGTCCTTCCACCAAATGGAAATGGTACAGAACGTATGTTGAAATATTACCTATGGAGAGGGCAACAGAAGTTATTCAGACCACTAAAATAATTGGTACAATACAGCAATAAGGAAATTACAACCTCGTAACAGTAAAAGCAATCATCAGCATAAGCTCAGATTAAACAAGCAAATACAGAGAATTTTTATGTGGCCTGATCCTATGAACAATGATCTCGTGCTGTGCTACGCTATCGGAAATCACTCCCATACAATCAAGTCCATTCAGATTCCCTATGTGGTCCAAGTCCTAATATTTCCCTTTTAAAAAACAGAACTTCTCTTGCAGTAACATTCAATGTCAATTTACAGTCCTGCATTCAAACGATAGAGGATCATTCAGCTGTGTAAGACAGAGGAGCACTGTTTTAGCCTACAAATGACACCAACACTACTACACGTTTCAAAGAACGCTTGCTCTTGATCCAGCACTACTACAACAAACAGCTTTGTGGCTTAAAGAAAAGGGCAGCCTGGCTGAACAGCAAAAGTGAGCTTGTCTCTCATGACAGTTAATCTCCTGCACTCTTCTGTAGCTTACGCAGCTGTACGGATTGCACAAGGTCTGAAAACAGATTGAAAAGGGCTTTGAACATACAGACATTGCAACCCTTGATAAAAGTCAATGATGTACATTTCTTTGATTTCTTAAGGCAATACTCTTACATTTTAGCAAAGGAGGGGAGGGCATCTCACAACCAACAATGCAGGCCCAAGAGACTTAGTTAGAAATAAAGAAGAAAAAAAGAGTTGGAAAATCATAATACGAGCCATTAGCTCAATAACCTATACATCTTGTAGTGTTGTATTGTCTGCTTGCTTATGGACAAGTGCTTGGCGAGAAGACTACTTGTAACATGGTTTCCTTCTGCCCTAAGACATTATTGGGATACTTTTCAACTCTTCAGCCACTACAGCTTTTAACTGTCTGTGCTGTCTGTCATGTTTGCCGCATTTCTTAACTGGGTCTTTTCCTATGCAAAGCTATTAGTCCCATGCTACAGCTTTTCATATCCTTGAACTTTAGTGAGTGGAGTGGTTGTGAAAGATACTAAATTGTCTGTCTGAGACCAAATTCTTCCCCATAAAACTCTACAGCCTATGTGACAGAAACGAAGCCTACAAGTGGCTGCTCGTGCTCTTGACTATTTTTGGTTAGTAATACAAGTAGTTTATTTTTCTTACTCTGATTAAGCTGTATCTGGAACTGCCACGATAATCTGAGTGGCACGGAAAGCAGCCTGCAAAATCACCAATCAGTCAATCCAGTTGGCATGGGTCATTGTGCAGCCATGACATACACTGCGCTTTGTTTCTGCTGCTTTCAAAGAAATTACAGTAATACACAACACTTTCAGTGGATTTAGGGAGGAAAAAGGTATGGCCATTGCTATGGCCTGATGTACTCCAGAAAGTGGAAAAAAAGACTATTAAGTGATAAATCCTCATCCTATTTCTTTATTTACCTTCATTTCTGGCATAAATTACCACCTGTGAGAAAATGCATGTCAAACAAGCCACTTGGCTCCAAAGATTCAGAATTACAGTTTCCCCTAACTCACTCTGCAATCGCATACACTTTACTGCAACCAAACACTGCAACTTTCTATTCAACACCACTGTATACAAATAAAAATTTGTTTCCAGATTTTGTTTCTTGCATTATCATTTGTCACATTTTTGTCTTCCTGCTCAACTTCAAAATTCTGTTGTATTCAATTGGATTAATCATTAGTTGAAACAAAAGAGAGTGTCTATTATATTTTGTATGGACATAGATGAACATATGGACAAAGCAGCAGGTGAAAATAGTACTGTCCGTTCACTTCACAGGAGTGAGGTTGTTTCAGGGATTACACGTAAGAAGATTTAATTCTAGAGGTTCTATTTCATAAGGGATTATACTGCAGTAAAAAAGTTCTAACAAAGTCACAGATTCTGACAGCATAATTCAGGGTCAAAGTGTGACATATGAAGTTCACGACTTGCCCATGATCATACGGTCTACTTGAAACAAATACCCACCCTTACTACTTTTTTTCTAACTATGCCTCCTTCAAAGGAGAATTTATATGAAGAAAGTAGTTTTCCCCAAACAAATCCTAAAGGCAGATATTGTCAGCAGACATTAGCACACTCTTCAAATTTTTTATTTTCAATTTTTTAATTCTTCAAGAAATTAGATGCTTTCATGCATCTCTTGCTCAGGTATGTTAAAAAGATGTTGGCAGCAAACATTTTAAGGAACAAAACACGAAACGCTATATTTTTCATCTGTGAAATTTTTACATTTGAAGCAAATTTGCTTCAAATGTAACCACTACAACCATTTTATACGGTTTGCCTTCTGAGTCATTTTATCCATTGCCCTCATCTCAAAATCCCAAAGGTCTCCAGGAATACATTAATTGTTTTATTTTAACCTGTATGAGCAATTATTTCTTGTCTCATTTCTGCTAGAGTAGTAGATGTTGCTGAATGGTACCATTATTCTGTATTATGAGAGATATTTCTTTGGGAGCTGACTGATACCACAACGTTCTTGAATTTCAGAGAGGTCCTTCAAGGGCTGATTGACAAATCAGATATGTTCAACTATCTTTTTATCAAGTGATGAGCTGGCAAGCAGGCAGGCGTAAAGAAATTAGATTTAAAAATTTTTAGGTTTATTTAACCTGGAGACAAAGTTGCATTACCTTCATCTATTTGCATAGAATAGGGAAGTTAGAATGGATATATTAATACCCATATGAATGAGACACAATGATAAATATTCTACACGTACATACAATAGCACCTTCCAGTGGCTCCCAAAAGAAATTTGTAAAATATACTGACTTGCACTATATATTTGATTCATATATATATATATAATATGTGTGTATATATATATATAAATATATGCATATAAAAATATTCATGTAGCCCTTTACTGTGGCCAACTAAACAGCTGAATGCTGGGGAGCACACAGCAACACTAGAGAACATCAAGAACAGCAAATGAACAGTATATTGGATTTTAAATTACAGTAGGAATTTTGATGGGCAGAGTAGATTTAGCTATAAAAACAAATGAGAACTTTTTGTATTATATTATTATTATTAAGGACAAGATATATGTTGTTTTTCTCCCCTTTTCGGAGTAATCTGCAATTGTGCGACAACTTCGGAAAAATTCATGGTCGACAATTTAAAACTGCAAATTAATCTTATGCAACCAACTTTGAACACAATTCATCAGTGAAAAACTCCTGTAAATACAGAAAGGATATGTCAGTAATTGCACAGTAAAACAAATTCCACAATCACAAGTTTCTTCTCTCCATACTGTTAGACTGATGGTTTATGAAATGTACGATATCAGAATATGCCAAAGAAAACTAGTTTAGTGAAAACTCTCAAGTCAGTATTAACTGCAGATTTAGTCTTGCAATTAGCATTTTAATTATGGCAGCAGAAATAAACAAAGTCCTCTGAAACTTAAAATAATAATAATAGCAACAACACCACAAAACAGAGTAACACTAACTCCCAGAATTCCAGTGCCAATTTATATTCTCACTAGGTTCTATAAATGCAGTTATTTCCTTACAAGCACATACAATGCATGGTTCCACATTTATATACAGGGGAAAAAAAAAAGCCATTTCTGTTCATTTGAATTTCAGGCTGCTGCTCTTAAGCAGCCTCCAGAGTTACAATTCAATATGCATCTGGTGATGAAACTTTGTACTTTTTTTTTTTTTTTTAATACATTCAAAGAACAGCTTTATTCCGCAAAGAGTCAGTGTGCAAAATTTGACCTTTCATACTGTAACCTCTGTGAGATCAAGAGATCAAAGCTAGTACTGTCTGCACAATCAACTTTGGTTTTCAGTTATACACAATGTACCTCAGAGCACCTGAATTTTTTTTTTGTTTTGTGGCATTGAAAGAGAGTTGGGGCAACTTCTAAATTTGGAGACAATTACTTTTTTTTTCTAAATTAAAATACCTCTATTATTAGCTGTTACACAATAAATTCTGTTTTCACTAAATTTTGGTTCTATCAAACACTGATATTAAGGAGGTTGCAATTTCATCCTCTGCAGAGAACACATTTATTCAGACAAGTTTTTTTCTCCTCTGTGCCTTCTACAGGACATTAGATTAAGCACTGATCTTAAAATACTGGAAAAAAATAGATGTGCCTGCAGTTTAAATTTGCTTCAATGAGAACTAATTCTATGAATGCAGCTGTGGATTCAGTCAGATACTTGTCAATATTTTGAGACATTGCTTCTCTGTCTAGGATCTAATTTAATCTTTATCAAAATTTCCTGCCATTTCTTTCCCCCATTTATCTCCACCCCAATCTTATTCTCCTCACTGCAGCTCACAGTAAAGCAGAAATACAGAACAGTCAAGTCTGTGATGCAAATAAAACCAGACTAAAACTTATTTTGGTTTCTACCTTCTTTGCTCTTACGTAGAATCTCTGTCAAAATCTCAGTATTATTTCAATCTAATTCACATGGTACAACATATCAGAAAAGTCTTTCGTAAACTGAAAAACTCCCTGCTCCAGCAATGCAGTTTAGCTACTCCGTGATCTCGATTTTGACTACGACTCACAACGGGACTTTACTCAGTTATCATACTTGCACTCCTCACTTTAAAAGCCGTCCTTAAGTAAAGCATCTCGCGCCCTTTTACATTTCATAAAATGTTCTTAAACTTTCCCTTATAGAGGAGATTGACTATTCTATTCAAACATCGTGTGCCATGAGTACTAAACATTTATAGAACTTCAATAAGTTAACCTTATATTTAAAAGTCTTTTAGTTTCACAATATAAAACCGAAGAGCTCAAAATGACCAAAAAGATGAAAATTAACAGTTTTTCAGGTTATTTCTAATAAATTAAGTATTTAAACTGTCCATCTGCCACTACTTATTCCTCTCTATACATACTTGGGGTTGTTTGTCCTGTAACAGAGTTCTAAATGTCGTCAAAACAGAAAGCAATCTTCACCAAGTTTAACACAAGGCAAGTCGTATCGGATTCTCTATGTTGGCTTTTAAGGTCTCCAGAAACTTTGAAGCCAGTTCATCATCTACCATCCGACCATCACTTGACAGAGTCACTGTCATGAGTTGATGCTGCTGAAGTTTCTCATTCCCTTCTTCATCTTCCACAATCTTGAGCTCTGGTCTCGCTTGGCCCACAGCTAAGATGCAGGCCTGTGGAGGGTTTATGACTGCAATAAAGTCACTGATGCCAAACATGCCCAGATTGGAGATACTAAACAGAAAAGAAAAGAAGCACTATAATGTCAAAAATTATATGTCTGCTACAAGAAAAAATAATCTATACTCAGTGACTACTATAAGCTAATATCTGTACCAAGACCAGCCCCATTAACTATAATAGACCTCAACTGGATTTAATTTGGACATATTCAGACTCTAAAGTGTTTCAGATTTTTTAGTTGCAACTAATCCACCTTTCTATACATCTTAGTTGTTGACAGGACTATATCCTTGCATTGCAGCAAAACAGAGACACAGGCAGCTGCAGCAATTATGCTACTTTGGAATAAGTAATAACATTCACAGTCTCCTTTAGGTAGACAAATACTGCCTTCCCAAGGAGGCACTGGACACATTGCAAGATACCAGGAAGCTACACAGAACATCTCATACGTAATTTCTGTCACTGGAGTTCTTCCCATAGATAAGCAAACAAACAAACCAAACTTTCCCTTAGAGTAAAGGCCCTCCACTGCTGCAAATTTCCAAAAGCTTTTTCTGCTGAAAGGCTTGTGATAAAGAGATTCTCTTGACCACTCCTCCAGCATGAGACACCCACATGCTCCAGACAGTATCTTGGGCACACTATTGTATGTTACCACAATATTCGTGCAGAAGATAGTTATTTCAAGTATTACTCTCAACATAAATTATCCTTCATAGAGGATAGGAATGTTAATGATAAGCTTTCAGAATTATGTTTAAAAAGTTCACAAAAAGTGAACAAACCTAAAATTTGTCTAACTAAAATGTTGCTTGATGCTAGTGTTCATCATCAAATACATTATATTAAACTAGAAACTTAAAACTAACAAGGCAGCTGAGTAACTGTGCAATTGTGTCATCACGTTCGTGCTAATGTTTAATACAAACCATTTATTTCTTATAGCTGAGTTCACTAGCTCTTTTTGCTTGGTTCATTTTATAGAAAAAATATTTACCAAATATATATTATTTAAAATTTATCCATACAGGTTTTGCTGTTTTACTTTTGAAAATAAACTATCAGAGTTAACATCCCAACTTTGCTGTAGCTTTTTTTCCCCTTCTAGAGACATTCTTCTGAGTAGTGAATTGAAGACAAACTGAACATCATGATATGCTGCCATATTTCTTTGCCAAACAATTCCTTTTCAATTTTGTTTAAACCCTTGTCAATGAGCTTTCATAACTACAGAATGCAATAAAAACAGGCTCTTCTGCAATTGGGAAAGATTAGATGCAAAAATAAAATTCAGAACTGTCTCTGTATAAAATATTCGAATTTCACAGCAGGCTCTGCTGAAATGCACTTGCTAAAAACCAGCGCCAAGATAATTTCCCCTCCCTGCTGATAGAGGGCACTCAAGCTTAGGTTTGGTGCCCAGAATCATCACATGCACTTTCATTCTCAACGAAGCAAGATTTTACAAGGCAGCGCATCAACACACAGTGGAATATCTGAGGAGAAGACAGCTCTAAACACATACTGCATGTACTGACTACCAGTAGAGAGTTTTACCTAAATGATCCTCCCTGATACTCCTCCGGTAACAGTTTCCCGTCTCTTGCTTTCTTTGCTAGAGCCTAAGGAAATTAAAAGATGAAAAAGAAAAGGAGAGAGAAAAGAAATGAAAACATCATACCAGACTCCCGCTCCTTTTACTTCAGTAAGACATTACAAGTACCACACAGCCATAGCAAAAAGACTTCTGGTTTTTAACTCAGACAAGCACATTAGCAACTTTGCTGCCATAGCTGCAATGATTTGACAGCGACTAGGACACACCACTTTATTTTCCCAACTAGAGAGGCTGTTTAGTAAAAGATGTCCCCTCTCACCTCATAACCTTTCCACCACAGCAGAACCACTTGAATCAGTTAGTCATTTTTCCCATGTGTTTTTAGATGACAAAAATATCTAGTGATATGCTGATGGGACAAATTCACAGTATTCCCCCTAACATACTTGTTTAAAGCACTTGCCATGAACCATTTCAGAATCCTCTAGCAGATGGAGAGACAGAGAGAGAGCGTAACTCTTCCAGCAAAGTGTTCAGCTACCTTAGATAACCTTTCTAGGAACCTGCTCCTCCCTCGACACATAGCCCTACACAGACATGCGCTTTCTAGGAACCCTGGCCTCTGCTTTAGAGGAATTCTGCAACTGATTTTAAGGATTTTCCCCCTCTGGTTTCAAAGAGATTCCCTGTTGCTTTACAGGAATTTCCTACAGGCTTCCTAGGACCTTTCCCCCCCCCCCCCCCCAAAACGGGGGCTTTCTAGGAGTTTTCCATGTTCCATCCAA